AGGATGACATATTCAGTTCCCTTGTAGAAAAAAATCAAAAACAAATTGTCAACCAAAAATTGTATGTCTGGCAAAACTTCAAAAATGAAAGAGAAATTAATATATTTCGTGATAAATAAAAATAAAAAATAAGTATTTTTTCTATTTGATTTAAAAGACATTTGCCCAAAACAATAATTATCAAACTTACATTGATGAACACATAATATATAAGGATGTAATTTGTAATAATAGCATAAAGGAAGTACAGAGCTATATAGGAACAATATGTTTATATACTGCTGAAAGGAAGTTGGTATTAATTGTAACTGGATTGTTATGAACTGTTAATTATAATTCCCAGGACAACTGCTAAGAAGTTAATTCTGTGTGTGTATGTATGTATGTATATATAGAATCATACTAGAAGAAATGAGAAGAGAATGAAAATGGCACTCTGGAAAATTTCTAACACAAAACAAAGCAGTAGTAAGGTAGAATTGAGAGGGACAAAGATATATGGGAAATAGCAAAATGGCAAAAGCAAATCAGTCCTCATTTATTACATTAAATGTAAGTACAGTAAATATTCCAGTGAAAGACACAGGTTGGCACAATGGATTTTTAGAAATGATCCAACTGTATGTTTTTTTCGTGACTCACTTTGTTTTTTTTTTGTTTTTTTGCGTCTGTGTGCTTTTCTTTTTTTTTTTAATTTATATATGAAATTTATTGTCAAATTGGTTTCCATACAACACCCAGTGCTCATCCCAAAAGGTGCCCTCCTCAATACCCATCACCCACCCTCTCCTCCCTCCCACCCCCCATCAACCCTCAGTTTGCTCTCAGTTCTCAACAGTCTCTTATGCTTTGGCTCTCTCCCACTCTAACCTCTTTTTTTTTTTTTTCCTTCCCCTCCCCCATGGGTTCCTGTTAAGTTTCTCAGGATCCACATAAGAGTGAAACCATATGGTATCTGTCTTTCTCTGTATGGCTTATTTCACTTAGCATCACACTCTCCAGTTCCATCCACGTTGCTACAAAAGGCCATATTTCATTTTTTCTCATTGCCACGTAGTATTCCATAGTGTATATAAACCACAATGTCTTTATCCATTCATCAGTTGATGGACATTTAGGCTCTTTCCATAATTTGGCTATTGTTGAGAGTGCTGCTATGAACATTGGGGTACAAGTGCCCCTATGCATCAGTACTCCTGTGTCCCTTGGATAAATTCCTAGCAGTGCTATTGCTGGGTCATAGGGTAGGTCTATTTTTAATTTTCTGAGGAACCTCCACACTGCTTTCCAGAGCGGCTGCACCAATTTGCATTCCCACCAACAGTGCAAGAGGGTTCCCGTTTCTCCACATCCTCTCCAGCATCTATAGTCTCCTGATTTGTTCATTTTGGCCACTCTGACTGGCGTGAGGTGATACCTGAGTGTGGTTTTGATTTGTATTTCCCTGATAAGGAACGACGCTGAACATCTTTTCATGTGCCTGTTGGCCATCCGGATGTCTTCTTTAGAGAAGTGTCTATTCATGTTTTCTGCCCATTTCTTCACTGGGTTATTTGCTTTTCGGGTGTGGAGTTTGGTGTCGTGACTCACTTTGAATATAAGGACCCAAGTGGTTTAATATGAAAGGATGGAAAGATATTTTATGCAAAGTTTACCTCTACAAAATAATATAGCTGAAGTAGCTGTGTTAATATCACACAACAAAGACTTTAAGACAAAAATTATAGGGACGCCTGGGTGGCTCAGTCGGTTAAGCGGCCGACTTCAGCTCAGGTCATGATCTCGCGGTTAGTGAGTTCAAGCCCCACATCAGGCTCTGTGCTGACAGCTCAGAGCCTGGAGCCTGTTTCAGATTCTGTGTCTCCCTCTCTCTCACCCTCCCCTGTTCATGCTCTGTCTCTCTCTGTCTTAAAAATAAATAAACATTAAAAAAATTTTTTAAAAAAGACAAAAATTATACCGTAGACAAGGAAGACATTATATAATGGTGAAAGAGTGAATCTATTAAAACATGTATGCACCTATCAGAGCCCCAAAATATATGAAGAAAAAACTGACAGAATGGGGGGAGACATAGATAATTCAACAGTAGTAGTTAGAGGCTTCAATATCCCACTTTAAAAAATGAACAGGACAGCTAAACTGAAGATCAACAAGGAAATAATAAAGGTTAATAACTTATTACAAGCCAACTAAACCCAATAGATGTATAGAGAACATTCCACCAAAAACAGCAGAATGTATACTTTGCTCAAATGATATGGAATATTCTCCAGCATAGACCATATATTTGACCACAAAAGTTTTCATAAATTTGTAAATATTGAAATCATAATGGCATTTTTGACCACAAGGAACAGGTTTGAAATCAGTAACAAAAGGAAATTATACAAGACACTCTTTAAGTACTAAAGCAACTGGAACTCTCATACTTTTCTGGTAGAATTACACTTTGGAATGATCCCTCCTATAAATATTTTGGTAAATATGCTTATCATGTAAGCCAGTAATCCCATTCTTAGGTATTTATCCAAGAGAAGTTAGGACATTTGCCTATGTAACAACTTGTCCTCAAATGTTCATAGTAGCTTTATTCATAAATAGCCCCAATCTAGAAAGAAGTGAAATACCTAAGTAGAGATAAATAAATCGTGATGTCCACCCAGTGGTACACTACAAACAGTAAAATCCATTAATTAATAATACATTCAGCACTATGAAAGAATCTCAAGAGATTTATGTTAAATGAATTTATGTGTGTATGGGTGTAGTAATTTGATATTCAGAAAGCCATAGTGGTAAAAAGCAGATGAACAGTTGCTAGTAGCAAAGGAGGAGTGACTCCAAAGAGACATGAAAACATTTTGTGGGGTGGTGGAAATGTTTTATATCATGATTGTGTTTTCAGTTATATTGGTAGACACAGCTGTGAAAACAAGCCACATCATGAATAAGAAAGAGTATGACTAAGATGACATCATTAAAAATGAGGGAATGCAGTATACAGCACTATGCTAACAAAATTTAAAATCTTTTTTTCTTTTTAAGAGAGATAGAGCAAGCGAGTGAGTGAGCATGTGCCCAAGCAGGGGAGGGACAGAGGGAGAGAGAGAATCCCAGGCAGACTCCATGCCAAGTGTGGAGCCCCACATGGGCTCAGTCTCAGGCCTGTGAGATTATGACATGAGCTGAAATCCAGAGTCAGATGCTTAACAGACTGAGCCACCCAGGCACCCCGAAATTTAAAATCTTAATAAAGTAAAGTAGGTCCTTTCTACAAAATAAGTCATCAGAATTTAATTGTAATAGAGTACCTGAAAGCGTTTGTTTTCTGCCTTACCTCTCATTATCCCCACATTTTAGTATTTTGCTCCAGCAGAATGGATCTGTACACTTCCTAAGCATAGCCAGTGTTTTCCCATGTGTTGAGTATTGCTTACTCACTTTTCTCTATTGTTACTACCATTTCCTCTTTTTTGTGTGTATTTGGATGCTACCTATTTTTCAAGCAAGTACACATTCCATTTCCTTCAGGACACTTACTTTAGCATGTTAGCTAGAAATAAGCACTTGTGGCAATAGTCATCTGTCACTTACTCTGCCTTGTAGACTTGGGTATCTTTTCATACTCTTATGTCTTCCTCTCCCTTACAGAGAATAAATTCTGTGACTATTCCCCCTATGTAGACACATCATTCCTGCTACATATATACCTCTCAGTTTATACAGAGTAGGAACTCTGGAAATAAATATTTACCTGATTGCTAAAAAGTGAATCAAGAGAGGATTCAAATTAGGAAAAAGTGGTTAGCTACTATTTCAGGTAAAATTAAGATTTTTGAGGGGTGCCTGGGTGGCTCAGTTGGTTAAGCATCTGACTTCAACTCAGGTCATGTTCTTACTGCTTGTGGGTTCAGAGCCTGGAGCCTGCTTCGGATTCTGTGTCTCCCTCTCTCTCTGCCCCTCCCCTGCTTTCTCTCTCTCTCTCTCTCTCTCTCTCTCTCTCTCTCTCTCTCTCTCTCAAAAATAATTACTTGCCACTGTAAAGTGGTTATTTTCCTGTTTTGATATTCCTTAATATTGTGGCTGATAGCAATGAGCATGCGGAGGTTGCAACAGCACATAATTTAATGTTGAACTCTAATTTAGTTATTCTTTTGTTCCCATGTATAACCTGTGCTAATTTGCTTTTTCCTTATTAGGGGTGTTGTAATTTGCATCTTTCATGATTTTTTTATGAAGTATTGCTTATTTTTTCATTGTGATCTGGATTGATCTACATCATGAATAATTCTTTCATAGGTCACTAGACTAATTCTTTGAGACTAGGACTCTTTGGGTGAGCAGTTAAAATTTAAGTTAGTATTTTCCTTTTTTTCTTCCAAAAAGAGAAATTGACAAATTAAGTCAATATTAATGGATTGCTATAGTGACACCTTTGTTAATTAACTGTTGATGGCTATCCCTATTGGTTCAGGCAAGCTAGAGCCTAGTTAGACAGTGGCAGAAAAGCATTATCTCAGATTTTTCCAAGCTTTTGGTATTTAAGAAATATAAATAACAAAACAAAACAAATCTTTGTCTCGTCCAGTAACTTTCACTGCCTTTCAAATTATTTCTAAAGTTAAATATTCTTGTATTCAGCTTTGCGTTGTATACCTCTTAAGGTATATAGATATTTAGCCATTTCAACTATCTTGTAGAAACCTAATATGGTTTTAAATTTAATTATCATGAGTTTAACATTTCTGAAAAATAAGCACCATTCTGTACCATATCTGTAAACTTAGAAATGTTTTTATGAATCTCCTCTTTATCCTATGAGGAAATAATTTTTAGTCTTTTTTGATAACATTTATAGTATTTTAAAGAAATATTCTCAGAAATCAAAGTGTTAAACTAATGTTCCTAATACTGGGAGAGGAGAAACATGGGGTTTTAGATCATCATAAAAATTAGCAGCAAATTAACTGACAGTAATAAAACTTTTTTCTCTTCAGGGCCAAGGAATATGAGAGTTTAATGGAAACAAAAAACTCTGGATCTGACTCACCTTATAAAGCAAAGTGAGTATTTTACCCTATATTTTATTTCTCTATCTCACTGGTGTCTGCCTATACAAAAGTTTATCTGAACTTGTATTCCTGTGATCCTGGGCTTTGGTATTGGTTGCCTAGAGCTTCATTCTTCTAACACAGTGGTCTCCAGCCAGGGATGATTTTGTCAGGGGATATTTGTGCCTGGGGATATGTAAACACATTTTGGTTATCACAGCTTGGAGAAATGGTGCTACTCCCATCAAGTGTAAAGAGACGCAGGGATGCTGTTAAACACTCTGCAGTGAGCAAAGAATTATCTCATCCAAAACATCAGTAGCGCCTAAGTAGAGAAATGCTGTTCTAGCAGAACAGGTTCTGGCAGTGCTGTTCTGGTTCTTGCTCTGAGGAGGCCTTGTTCAGGATTGTTGCCAGGGCCACTTGACAAATGAGGAGGATCTGACTCCACCACTGAGTATACATGTAACTACACAGGAGCTAAGTAAACAAAACCATCATCATTTTGCTTCTCTCAAATATGTTACCAGTAGAGGTGTGGTGAGGAAGATACTCAAAAACACTGCTGATGGGAGTGCAAATTAGTGTAGTCTTAGTGAAAGGCAATGTGAATCCAGAGCTTAGAACATACACTGCTGCTTGGTGAAATAATGCAAAATGTGCCCAAATATTTATATACAAAAATAACTATTTTACTGTTATTTTTCATAGTGAAAAAGCCAAGAAATAACTGCCACAAATTGAGGAATATCTATAACCAGTTGTTGGTGTAGATATGCTATAGCATTTTAATGTAGCAGTTATTTACATTTAAAACAGAAATATTGTTGCCTTCTGAAATGAGCTACCCACTGGGGCACCTGCATGGCTCAGTCAGTTAAGCATCTAACTCTTGATTTCAGCTCATGTCTTGATCTCAGGGTCGTGAGTTTAAGCTCTGTGTTGGGCTCTGTGCTGGACATGAAGCCTATCTAAAAAAATAGAAAAAGAAATGAGATGCCCTTAAGATAATTACTTTTATCACTTATTGTTTTGAAACAATTAGTCATTGCCATCCTAAAAGAAAAAAATGTGTAAAATATTAAAGAAGTTAACAAAATTATCAAGATTATGATACTGTATATCTGGAAAACCCAAGAAACTCAAGTGAAAAACTAGTAGAAATAAGAGAATAAATTCAGTAAGGTGGCTGATTACCAAATTAATGTGATAATATTTGGCTTTTCTGGGCCTTTGCCTCATTCCAGTCTCCTTACTTGTGTTGCCTCGTTTATTCCTCACAACAACTCAATGAGTTTCATTAGGGAAGCTAAGCCTTAGACAGGGTAAGTAACTTGCTTTAAGATTATGCAACAACATAGCCAAGCTACAAAATTAATACTTTCCTTTCTCATGATCAGTTAGAAAACATCAATATCATTTACAATAGCAATAAAAAATAAACTGAGAATAAACTTGACAAGAAATATGAAGGCTCTATAAAAATTAAAAACCTTAAAATCCTAACAAAGGGTATAAAAGAAGACTTGTATAAATGGAAAAACAAATTACACTCTTGGATAGAAGACATGGTATAGTAAAATGTCAATAAAATAACAACCGTTTTAAAAAAAGAATCATTTTAAAGAACATGCAGAAAAATAAATGAAAATTTCTAGAAAAATAATTTTAAGGGATAGTGAGGTAGGACTGCACTTACAGATATCAAAGTATTTGTTAAAATATTTTTGCACTGGGACATTAATAAAAATTCAAATTGATGGAAGAGAGTTTTAAAAACAGTCTAGAAATAGATTAAAATATTTGAGCAAATTTAATATATGATGGTGAGATAATGTTTACAAAGATAGCCACAACTTGAGCCATTCCTGGGGGCATGCCCCTGTGCAATCTAATATAACTTTGCCACTATTACATCAAGTGGTGGACTCTATTTCCTTTCCTCTTGAATTTATTCTGGACTTTTGACTTGTTTTTGACCTGCAGACGACTACAGAAGCACTATTTGATTTCCAAGACTTGGCCTCGGAAGTCTTGAGGGATCTCTTTCAACCTCACTTTCTTGCTCCCCTATGATTGCCGTGTAGGGAAGCCTGGGTCAGCCCCCCGCCCTCCCGCCTTGAGGATGAGAGATCACTTGGTCATGGTGATAATCCTTTTAATATGTAGTTGAATTCATTTTGCTTGTTCTCTTGAGGATTTTTGCATCAGTGTTCATAGGAGATTTTAAAATTTATCAAGCCTCTGCTTGTGTTACATTTGCTTATATCCCATTGACCAAAGCAAGTCATCTCACCAAGTCCAGGGTCATTGTAGGAGGAGAGTGTACAAGTCATGGATAGCAGGGTGTAATTCGGGAGGGCCTTTAATGTAAACAGTCTACTTCAGAACTTTCTCTGGATTCTCCTCTTACTTGACTGGCCACTCTTTTTCAGTATCTTTTGCTCGGTTCTTACTTGTCTCCTTGACCTCCAACATTAGCATGCCTATGTCTTGAGCATTCAAACACAGAATTATTCCCTTGGTAATCTTACTCAGTTTTATGACTGTAAACGTTTAGTCACTGATGGATTTTAAATTTAGGACTCCAACCCAGCCCTCTCCCCAGAACTCCAGGCTCATATATCCAACTTCCTATTTAGTATTTCCACTTGGATGTCTGTTTGTTCAGTTGGACCCCTCAAGTGAACGTGTACAAAATTAAACTCTTGAAATTTGCTCCCAAACTTTACCCCTCATATTTTTTGCTCGTTTTAGGAAATGGCAAGTCCATCCTTTAAGTTGAGACTAAAATCTTTAGAGTCATCCTCTTTCTCCTCACACTTCATTCTCAGTCCATCAACAAATTCTGTTGGCTCTGTCTTTAAAATATATTCAGAATCTGACCACTTTTCGTTACCTCCATAGTAACTACTCTGATTTAACCTACCATTATCTCTCATCTGGATTAATTTTTTTTAATTATATATGAAATTTATTGTCAAATTGGTTTCCATACAACACCCAGTGCTCATCCCAAAAGGTGCCCTCCTCAATACCCATCACCCACCCTCTCCTCCCTCCCACCCCCCATCAACCCTCAGTTTGCTCATCTGGATTAATTTAATAGCCTCCTAATTAGTCTTCTACTACTTCTGCTTTTCCTTATTACAGTCTGTTGACTACTGGGCAGCCAGGACGTTTGTTTAAATTATAAGCCTAGAAAAAATAGCAGTAGCAATAGAAGCATAATTTTTCAGTATCTCCAGATCTTCACATAGAAACCAGGCAAGTAGTTAAGAAAACCAAAAACCCATGGCAGTGTTTAACAACAAACCACCTTACCAGATATCTCCATGAAATCCAAAAAACAAGTAAATCCAAACAGCCTTAGGTACTGCATGTTATTGACATCAGTGTGAAAGAAAGCAAAAAGAAGCAACTGGAATAACAGATGTAAGGAAAGAAGAAGAACCCCAAAATAACTAAGGTTTTCACTGCAAAGTACAGGGAACCAATTTGAAAAAAATCACTTGAACCTCATTTTCAAGTAAGTTCCTCTGGGAGGGCTCATGTGAACAATGTTGCCTTGCTCTTGCATATCAATAATTTTATGCCTTCAAAAATTAGTTTTGCCAATTGCAAAATTATTGACCCACATTTTTTTTCTTGAGGATCTTCAATCTTAAAAAATGAACTTTATCTAATCAAAATTGTTAGACTTCAACATAATGACTGTGGTGAACCTGATATAGTTTCTTATAGAACTAAGACTGATGTGGCAGAAGAAGAATATTACATAGTAACTGTATCTCATAATTTTATAACATAACTAAGAAAAATATCAGTGAATATGAGGAGAACGTATGCTAATAAATTAAATGTTCTCTAATTATATTGGTAATGATACCAGTAATGTTATTCTGAGTCTGTTCTGCATATAATATGCGATAAAGTAAAAGATATTATGCAAACTAAAATTCTCTCATCCCCTGTGTTCCTGAGAAGTTGAGTCCTGAGTTTACAAGAAAGGAGAAAGGAGATAAATATAATATAGAAGAGATGAGGTAAAACCCCTGTAGGACTGAATTTGAATTAAATGAATTTATGAGGTATTTTATCTTTCAGAAAGCGTTATGTGTATTTGTGTGTATACATATTTGTATATGTATGTGCATATGTATACATGTATATATATGAATGTATGTGTATATGCACACATTTATTTCCTAGCTCTGCCCATTAAAGAGACCTAGAAACAATGACCAGCATAATGGCAGTGAGCTCACTGATTTGGGACTTGAAATATCATTTCTCACGAAAAGAAGCGAGAACTTCTTAGAAAAATGCCTAATTCTAGATCTAAATGCCCTGTCATACTAGATGGCAAGGAGGCTATCAAAAACTTCTAGCATTTTGTCCAAGGACTCAGTAGCCAACTTAAGAATTTTATACTGGACAAAGAAGATAATTTGACCTTCCAAAAGGATAATTATTATAACTGATTTAATTTGGTAACCAAATAGTAGATGAAGTGTCTTCTTATTAAAATATTCTAGCCAATAAGTGAAAATGACTCTTTCTCTCTTCCTCTGGTTACCCTTCCCTTTCCAGAAAAATTTAGTCCTGAAGTCATTAGATGAGAGAATACCAAGCAGCCATCTGCAGTGTTGAGATGGCCGGAGACAACAGTGGCACAGTGGGGGATGTAAGAGCCTGAGGAGGCTGAGGTGGACATTTGTGCAGGGGCATGAGGAGTGGCCATATGTGGAAGCTCAGAGCCCCAGCAGAATGAAGGGAGCTTCCATGTGAGGTGGGGCATCATGGCCTGGCGTGGTGAGTCAGAGCAGAATGAGGAGGGCATCTCTATGGAAGAGCATCCTGGCATAGTCTGTTAGAGCCCACGTGAAGAGGGAAGCCTGACAAAGGCTGTTGAAACCCAAGCAAGGGTGAGAGAGCACAAAAACCCAGAGTGGGGAGTCAGAGCCCAAGCTGGGACATAATAGCATACATATAGAAACAAAGATGGGTGA